ATTGAGGGGATGTCTATCAATTGGAGAATGGGTGAACAAGGTGTGGTATATGGATGTAATCGAGTACTATAAGAAATGCTAAGAAAGAAAAACCTGTGAAGACTTACATGAATTGATGCTGAGTGAAGTGAGCAGAACCAGGAGAACATCGTACACAGTAACAGCAACATTATGCAGTGATCAACTATGATAGACTTAGCTCTTCTTAGCAATACAATGATCCAAGGCAATTCCAAAAGACTGATGATGGAAAATGTATCTACATCTAGAGAAAGAACTAATGGACTCTGAATACAGATCGAAGCATACTTTTTTCACTTTGTGTGTGTGTGTGTGTGTGTGTGTGTGTTTTCCTTTTGTTCTGTTTCTTTCACAACATGACTAATGTGGAAAAATGGTTAACAGGGTTGCACATGTATAACCTATATCAGATTGCTTGCCATCTTGGGGAGGGGGGAGGGAAAGGAGGGAGGTAGAAAAATGTAAACTCAAAATATTATAAAAATGAGTGTTGAAAGCTAACTTTACGTGTAATTGGAAAAAATAAAATGCTATTTACATAAAAAAGTAGGTCCCATTTAGTTATATGACATGAAATCTTAGAAGTAGTAAAGTAGGTAAATGCTTCATCTAGCGTGACATAGCAAATGAGGAGACCCTAAGCCATCACTTCACTATGTATGTTGTCTTATTAGAATGTAAGCTCTTTGAGGGCAAGGGCTTTCTTGCTTGAATATATGTGTATCCCTAGCCCTCAGCACAGTTTAAGCTCAATAAATGTTCATTCATTCATTCATTTGGAAACAAAATCCAAAGAGGTTATTTACTCATTACTGGTCCACTAGCATTAGAACCTCAGGGTTCTTCACACTACACAATGCTAATATCTGCAGATCTTAATAGCAACTTCTCAATGCTGTCATAGGCTAAGATATTTTAGAACCAGTTCTCCCTGACAGCCAGGATCATCTTAGATCTTCAGTTGCTTTCTTTGGAGTATTTACATACAAAGACTAGATTGACTTTGGTCTTTGGGAATAAATCAACCAAACTTTTGACAGCCTTCTTGGGGAAAGAAAGATAAATTGGTTTCATATCTAATGGTTTATTGTTTATCATAGTAGCTATTAAAAATAGATAACCAGAGGCTAATAATGTTAATGGTCCCTTTCAGTATTAGAAAAAAAAATCAATTGTCAGTGGACATCGCATATATGAATACATTCTTTCAGGTTGAAATTTTTCATAATCTTTCACAGCATTTTAAACACATGGCTTCTAAGAAATACTTATTTTTCAATTCAAGACTTTTATGTTAATGATGACCACAGAGAACAGGTTAAAGCATAAAAACATTTTTAACTTCATACAATTGTAAGAGAGCTTAAAGGGACATATTATGATCATGAAAAAAGACATGCACAATTTGTCAAGGTTGATAAACTTCCTACCAACAACTTTTACATATATATTCGTTTTAAATTTGGTGGAGAGCAGTAGTTAGATAGATTTCCAAATGGAAGTAATTAAAATTGCATTGAATTGAGCTATTGACTAATCCTAGGCTATTAATCAGGCTAAAAAATTCTACGATCAGAGCTCAGTGTTCTGAAGCACTGTAAAATAATAGTTTTTGTGATCAGTGATGCAAGTAGCCGCAATTAAGCAGTTCACTTGACAAATGAGAGGGTACACTTTATTTTGCACTTAATTGAATTGTTGTACATGCTTGGTCACCATTGTCTGCTGCCTTTCATTTTGGTTTGCAGCCATTTGAGCACACACATTTATTAAGAGGAACAATTAAGTCTGCCTTGGCCCTTGGCTGTATAAGTGCAGACAGTGAAAACTGGGTCACAAATTAGGACTCTATGGAGTACCATGGATATTTCTCCGGACATAGTTCTAATTTTTCTAACCAAATTTTGATAAACAAATTCAAACCCTGTTGTGGAATTATATGACACTTTTAAAAAAAGGGAAAACTCAAAAGACTTCATATAACTCACTGGTTTCTGAATGGGTGGAGAAGAGAATTTTAAAAATAGAGTTAGACACTTAATCTGTTTTATGAAAACCAAAATGGTTTTATTCTTTCAAGCCAAGGAGGAATGTTCTCTGCTGGTGGCACAAGGAATAGAGTTCAGGATTTGGAGTTAGGAAGACCTGAGTTGGAGCCTGCCTCAGACATTTTACTAAGATGTGTAACACTAAGCAAATCATTGCCTCTGTGCCTGAATTTTCTCATTTTAGAATGGGGTTAATAATAGCATCCACTCACAGGGTTGTTGTGAGGATCAAATGGGTTAACACATGTAAAGTGTTTTGCACACTTTAAAGAGCTATATGACTTCTAGCTGTGAGGATGATGATTGGTTTCCACAGGCCTTTTCAGAAAAGTCATACCATTGCAAAAAGTATCCCACCCTATTCTTCATTAGGCAACAAATGGTGGCACTTGCTGTATATCTCTATTCAATTCTGGGTTAAACAGAGATTTTCAGAGAGAAACCATGGACAATACCTTTGTTAATTAGTAAAAGAAGAAAACAAGCTAAAATTCAAATCTGAAAGCATATTTAAATATAAAGAGACATTTTAAAAGTTCATTCTTACTTTTTGCCTGGGCATATCAGATATTATGATTGTAGAGGGGCCCTGAATCACATAAATGCATATTTTCATAAAAATGCATGACATAAGTCCATCACCCAAAGATGGCCTTTCTCTCTGGTTCTTGGTCATCTTAGACTTTACATCCACTTCCATTAGTTATCAAAAGTAGGTAGTAACAGCTTCTTTACCTACATCACAGAGATGTTGTAAGGATCAAAGGAGACAATAAATGGGATAAAACTCTTTGGCAAGTAAAAGGCATAGTGTAAATATACTATATTTTGTACCATTGAAAGCTTTTTTCTTTTCATCAAAAAGCTTGCTCTTCAACATTCTACTTGATCAAACATGTGCTTTTCTGCACAAAAAATACAATATGAATTTTGTCTGGAAATTTTTAAAAATGAATTTTGGTACCATATCATTAACACTAGAAATAAATTTGACTTATTTTGGAAATTAATTTATTTAGAGGGCATGTGTAAGCATATTCTATATGACACTAAAGAAATAGACAGCTAGTGATTAAAATCCTTTCTATACTCCACTTTGAAGGTCTAGGGCTCAAAGTGGGGGCCGTGGCCATGGACTGGCCCACAAGCAAAAATAGCCAGAGTATGATCAGCAAATTAGAAAGTGGGAAAATAAAGTTGTATGTCATTTCTCTGTGATAACCAATCATCTCTGGCTATATTATCTTCAAGTTTTGTCACTTTTATCACTAGAACTGCTGTACTTCACTTTGCTTTATTCTCCTTATTCCATAGCATCTTCTTGCCAGCCCCCTGGTGCTACATGCATGTGTACTCTCACTGCCAGCTCCAACCTCTTCCAGTTCTAGAACCAGTTCTCCAAAGTGGTATGTCAGTCTACTTCCAAAGAGCCCCTCCTTGTCCCTCATTCCTCCTTTTTGTGCCTTCCCATTAGAATGTATGCTTCTTGAGGGTAGGAACTATCTTTGCTTATATTTGTAACTCAAGGACTCAGAACACAGTAAGGGCTTAATAAATTCATTTTCATTCATTCATTCATTCATTCATTCATTCATTGTCTTCAACACAACAATACCATCACTATGCTTTATGGATGGACCAAGCACTCAGAATAGCTCTGATTCCTCTTTGACTTCACCCCAAACCCTGGCCAAGAGACCCTACACCTTACTCCCAAGATAACTTTGTGGCTCCTGCAGGAGCCCCAACAGGTAGAATATGTGCCCTGGGATACTGTATAGTGAATAAGATTGCCCCAACATTTTTCTTTCTTTAGATTGAGAAGCAGAGGATAAATAGGTTGCAATGTGCATCAGAGATGTCATTGCATTATCTTGCCTTCCAAATCTATCCTTCTTTCTAATTTCCCTTTTCCCTCCAGGGCATCACCAATTTCCTGGGTTCTCAACCTTCTCCTCCTCTTGACTCCTCACTCAACTAAAGCTGCTCTCTTAAAAAATTACCAACAGTTTCTTAACTGCCAAAATATGATGGCCTTTTCTCAGTACTCATCTTTCTTGACCTTTTTGCAGTATTTAATACTGTTGACCACTCTCTCCTCTTGGATCCTTAATTCTCTCCTGTAAGGATTCCTGAAAATCATACAAGTATGTCACCTATTAAAAAAACCTTCATATCTGCACACTTTAAAACTTGGAAACATTTCCTAACTTGATTAAAAATTTTCCAAATGAAGAACATCAGTGAAATTTGAAACTTTTTGTTAAACATCGAAAAAATGCAACACCTTCCAATTAGTTTATAAAAACAAATGACTTATGTCAGGAAAGATGTAAACTTACTAGCTGAATTTCAACAAATAACCTTTTCCTAACTAGTGGATGGGATTGGAAAAGTGAGTATCATGATTTAGTAAGTACCAGCAATGATGCATTTCCTCCTTTAGGATCTATATATCTTTGTGAGGTATCTTTGCTAGCTGTGACAACCACTAAATAATGGAATGTACTAAACTTCCAAGTGAACCTTCAAATCACAAAGTGATTTGCAAAAATAATGAGATGTATTCCATCACATTTCTCTCACTAAAAGTACCATTATTATTATTTAGTGAGAGTAAAAGATTTTAATACCAATTAAAACCAAAATATTATTTTAAAATATTACTTCACTTTATCTCAATCTTTCATTTCCATTTTGTACACATTTTATATTGTACATTAGTATTACTAGAGTAATACATATATGTAATTTACAAATAAGCAAATCTTCCTGTATTAGAGATGAGTGCACAGAAATTTTTTACTGCTGGGATATACTATCAAGAAACTTTAGGGATGCTGTTAAAAGATTTGGCCCCTTCTTACGAGGTAAGGTACTCCTCCTTTTGTTGAAGCAGACAATAATGATCAGGCTGTGTCTCTGTTTCAGACCCTACCAGTGTGGTCACTGCTCCCAGTCCTTCTCCCAGCCTTCTGAACTGAGGAACCATGTGGTTACCCACTCCAGTGACAGACCTTTCAAGTGTGGCTATTGCGGTCGTGCCTTTGCTGGGGCTACCACCCTCAACAACCATATCAGAACTCATACTGGAGAAAAACCCTTCAAGTAAGTAACTAAGACATCAGATATTGTCCACTCTCACCTATTTTTAGCAGCTTCTCTTATGAGTAGGGAGAAAGGGGAGGGTCCCCAGCACCATACTGTCTATCTCAACCAACTAGTGGTTAAGGCACTTGGAAGGTCAAAATCCAGGCTCTAAGAAGAACTGCATTTTTTCCAAGGGATTGTTATCAGGCTAATGAGATTCTGTATACCTGGTTTAGAGTTTTGGTTCAGCCAATTAATAGCTATAAGACTGTAAGCAAGTCACTTGACCTCTTTGAAACCTCACTTCACCTTCAAATAAGACAACTTCTTTAAGTCCCTTCCAGGTTCTAAAATTCTGAGTCTGAGATTCAAGAGGAGAATCTGTGAAAAGTCCTTTGAGGCATATTCTTTTCATCCACTAGTGAAGTATAGCTGTAATTAATTGACAATTGAATAATGGCTACAAAGGGAAGAATTTTCTTTAAGATAGCTAGTGAATGACTTCACTTCCACTCCACAAATGTATTAAGCTACTTGGTTGTAGGCATAAGACTGATCATGCCTTCTGATGTTTAACCTTAGATCAAATATTGTGACTATACATTCAGGGTGCTTTTAGGGCTTCAAAATTACTATGTTGATGAGAGATCAAAAACCAGAAACAAGAAGCATCATTGTCCTTGTCAGGGTTTCTGGTGATAGAAGAAAAAGTAGACTTGAACATTGGCAGAAAAAGAGCATCTCAAAGAACAGTTTTAGTTTTAGCTGAGACAAAGACATGCATTGGAAATCTTAGCTTTGACAAGGTTGTAATGATCATTGATACAGCTCTTACTGCCTATATATAGAGCACTTTATTGTTTTGAAACCTTTTGAATCTCTCAATTATTTTTCATGCTGCTCTTAATTTTTTTGTTTAAGAATGAAAAAGGAAAAGGGCATAAGGATCCTGCATCAGTTCCCCTAGTAAGGGACAAATGTAAGAATTGAAGCAAAGTTAGTACTGTGTAAAATAATGAGAAAATTAATCCCTATGCTCAGTCTCAGTCAAGGAGAAGGACCATGCTAACAAGACTGTTTCTTTAAATAATGTGTCATTCTTGATATCTGGACCAACTGGCAGGAAGCAGTATTATTTTCTGCCTGAGACCAAACAATGACCTGAATAAGAATAAATCTGACTGATTTGGCCCCCAAATATCCTTATTGTCCTGCCAATGGAGGGAGAAATGAATGAAAATTTTTTTTATTTTGCTTTTTTCACTGTCGAAGACAGAGCATTTTCTTTTGACCTAGTAAAATCTCTCTGTTTCCCTCTTCCTTTGGTTTCATTTATGGCATTAATTAATAATGGAAAACAATGGCAATTAGTATTATTTGGATTCTATAAAAAGAACAATAGGCCAGATGCTGACCAGGTCTGTCTCTTCCAACATGGAATTTATCAAAGCCTTTGACCTTTGATAGCTCACACATTTGACCATCAAAGAGTCACAAATTCTGCCCTCACCTCTGTGGATGAGAATGATGATCATCTTGCGTTTTCCAGGATGTTGATCATAGAGCTTTGTGAGTAAGCTCTGCCAGGGAGCACCTAAGCATTCTGCACCTGGGCCTTTCAAAGTCAAGTTATTAAAAAAAAAAGCAGTTCATAGGAGTGAACCAAACATGGTGCTAGGAATCAGATTGATTTTTATCTAGCAGCTGTGTAAATAGATTTTAGTAATTAATTGAAGAGGTTTCAGGGTCAAAATGGAAAATAGATTTCTATTAATGTTAAGGTGTTACTTATGTGTAACCTCGTTTACTCCACTCAATTTTCCCCCCTAACAGCCTGTTTTTGTCATGTTTCCAATAGATTTAACATTTTTCCTTAAATTTAATTTACCATATTAAGATTTCATGAAATAGTGCTTTTCTTAAAATGTGTGTGTGTGTGTGTGTGTGTGTGTGTGTGTGTGTG